AGAGAGTTAGTTGACTTGGAGGCAGAGAATCGTCGAACATCCTCAGAGCTGGGAGGAAACTGAGGCCCAGAGAGAGGGCAACCATCTCAGGGTGACACGCAGACTCCGCACAGCCTATCCTGGGTCCATTTCATTAAACCTTAGTGCCTCTGGTTTCCTAGATCTTATTTTAAACATCACATACTAACATTGCTGGTAACCGAAAGGTAAGTATGCTTTCCAAAGCCAGTGCTAACATTTACAGTTTCCCTTTTCACCTCAACACTCATTGCTCACATTCCAAGTCCCATGAGTTTACCATTACTCAGGAATCAGCTCTGCCCCCACAACATTAAGGCTGACCCAGCAAGGAACCCCAAGGGCAGGCACTGGTTCTTGAGGGCCCAGGACTGAACCTGGACTTCTGAACCCGTTAACCACAGGAGAACCTGCATCCTCCTCTTCCCTGCCCATCGCTGCCACTAGTTTAGTAGCCCCCTAGAGGGAAGCATTTGGCTTGGCTTGAAGCCTCAAAATTCGTTAAACCTCCACAAACCTCACAGATGGCAGTGTTGCTTGATTAAGGGGGTGGGGTGTGGGGGTGTGGGTGGGGGTGTGTGTGTGGGGGTCATTGTGCAGTGCAGGAGGAAGTTCCGATGTTGGCACAGTTGGGGCATGTGGGCTCATTCGTTCTGAGGGTGAGAAGATGCCCAATCATATTTGCGTTTCTTCTTCGGTAAAGCTCATTTCCTCCCCCGAAGGTGAAAAACGGGACTCAGACCCCGGGAGTTTCAGAATCCCGGTGACAGGTGTGGAGAAGATACGGGTGGGAAGTCGGGGACCAGGAGGCCAAAACAAGAAGCCTTCTCCAACATGCAGCGCTGTCGAGGTTCCAAAAATGGACTTTCCTCGCACTCGGGTCCCTGAGAGCTGGGCTTCCCCATCCCTCCGAGACAGGGAGAGGAGGAGGGGGAGCTCTGGGTGCACCGCTGCCTCCCCGGCTCCGGCCGAGCCCTCCCGCTGCCCCCGCGCCCCGGCGCTAACCCCGCGGGCTCCCCGCTCCAGCTGTCACGCTTCCTCCTCCGCCGCCGCCCAGCAGCCCTACCCCGCCCGGGGCCGTGCCCTCGCGCCCCCGCCCTCCAGCGCCGAGGGCCGGGCGGGCGGCGGGGGCTCGCGGGGTCTGTACCTGCCTGCGGAGGGCGCGCGGTCGGAGCTGCAGCGCGGGAGCCGGAGCCGGAGCCGGAGCCGGGATGCGGGGGCCGGGCCGGGCCGGGCAGAGACGGCCGCCGCGGGGCCGCCCCTCTCCTGACGACACAGCTGCCCGCCCCTCACCCCGGCCGGCCCGCCCGCGCCCGCGCCCGGGGCCCCCAGCACCGGGATGCCGGTCTGGAGAGGCCCCCGTTCCAGCTCACCAAGCCTCGCTCCCCCCCTCCCGGTGTCTCCAGGGCTCCGGTCTGTGCCTCCTTCTCCACCTCCTGCCCGCGCTGCTCATCTTCTTCCCGCCCCGGGGCCCGCTCTGCTGCTGTTTTCCCTTCATTCCAGCCACTCACGGCCTCTCCCTGCATTCCAGCCCCGGGAGCTCGGGATGATCGGGGGCGGGGGCGGGAGCGGACGGCACAGGGGGACAGCTGCCCCCGGCCCGCGCCTCCCCCTCCTAACTGCTGCCTTCCCAGCTCCGGTGCATCCACTATGGGCTAAGTCCATACCCCGGAGATCTCTCGGCAGCGAGGCCAGAGTTCAGACTCCACATCCTGAGACCCAACCCCTCCCACACACCACCCACCAGGGGCCCCACTACCCGCCGCTACTTGAGAAAAGCTGCCCCCTTACCTCCAGGCCCCTCACCTCAGGAACACCCCGACCCGGACGCCTCACACTTGTCTTCCCAAGTCTATGGACACTTCCTCCTTGCAAAACCCAGATGGCTCCCTTGATTCTGGGGTGGAGGTTTAGGTGCAAAGAGCACTCTGGCCTGTTCCACCCTTTCTTTATGCCGGCACCCTCCCACATTACCTGCTGGTCCTGGCAGGTGGCATAGAAGGCCTTGGCCAAAAGTCGGGGTGAAAAGAGGTCTTTTCAGCTTCTTTCTGGAATCTGTTCTGGAGTGAAGACCCTGGGGGCAGCAAGGTGGCAAGGGAGAGAGACGGAGGCCTAGGGACTTACTGGTAGGCACTGGGGACCCTGGCATCCTGCTTCCTGGCCCCGCCCCGTCTCCCCCTACACACACACACACACACACACACACACACACACACACACACACCTCCTCTTACCCTTCATTGAAATAGGGCACAATAACAAAGGCTTGAGTTCCTGGAATCTTCCTTTTTACACCTGGTGGTAGAAGAAAGGGGAGGGGAGAGCCCTGGCTGGGAGGGTGTATGTGTGTTCTGTAAATGTTGTGTGTGTATACACACAGACATATAATATAGACATACTTCTACATTCTTCCGTGGGGGTTGAAGAGGAGGAATGAATACATGAGGACCTCTAGTGGAAACAGAGGGGTGCAAGCAGTTCTTGATTGTTTTAAGACAATCAAGACAGGCTTGTTGGAAGAGACTCCTCCATTTTTTAAAAAAAATATTTTATTGTTTTTTTTACAGAGAGGAAGGGAAAGGGATAGAGAGTTAGAAACATCGATGAGAGAGGAACATCAATCAGCTGCCTCCTGCACACTCCCCACTGGGGGTATACCCACAGCCAAGGTACATGCCCTTGACCGGAATCGAACCCAGGACCCTTCAGTCCGCAGGCCGACGCTCTATCCACTGAGGGTCCCAGGTTCAATTCTGGTCAAGGGCATGTACCTTGGTTGCAGGTACATCCCCCATAGGGAGTGTGCAGGAGGCAGCTGATTGATGTTTCTCTCTCATGGATGTTTCTAACTCTCTATTCCTCTCCTTTTCCCTTCCTCTCTGTAAAAAATCAATTAAAAAAAAAAATTTTTATAAAGGCCTATTTTGCACCAGGGCTTGTACTTAGTTCTGCAAGACAGCCAAATACAGAGCCTAGTTTAGGGGTACACCATAGAGTGGCCTGGTGTGTGCGAGTGTGTGTATGTGTCAAGTGCCTGCCCCTCGAACCCACCCTAAACAAGCATACGGTATCAGTTGAGAACAAGTCCCCTAGAGCCTCTTCCAATCAGTTTTCTGTCCTTGAACCCCTCATCTAGAAATACTGGAATGCCCCTAGCTGGTTTGGCTCAGAGGATACAGCATCGGCCTGCGGACTGAGGGGTCCTGGGTTTGATTCCCATCAAGGGCACATGCCCGGGTTTCAGGCTCGATCCCCAGTAAGGGGTGTGCAGGAGGCAGCTGATCAACCAATCAATGATTCTCTCTCAGCATTGACGTTTCTATCTCTCCCTCTCCCTTCTTTTCTGAAATCAATAAAAACACATTTTTTAAAAAGTAGAAATACTGGAATGATACTACTCCTTAAAGCACTCAGCTTTCCTTGCAAATAACACTCCCAGTGATACACCCTCTGTATGACCTGAGTTCCTCATTCCCTCCTCCTCATCAGTTCTGTCCCTACATGAGGTTAGAGAGTCCCCTTTGACGACATTATTTGAGACGTCCGCGTGAAGCAGGAGGCGATTTCTCTAGTGAGGAATGAGGTGGCATCAGCCTGGGCGCCTGTGTGTCTTCTCTGGGAACGGTGTCACGCCCCAAGTCGGTTACTGGTGGGGGTATGATGCAGAAAGGCCAAGTAACATCTCAGGAGGAAGCGTCTGATGACTGCAGTTCCAGGTGCTCATTTCTTTAATCAACCACATCATAAAAGTCAGAAAGAAAGAAACCGCAGTGAACAAAGGGAAAGGAAAAAACAGCCTTGTTCTCTTCAGCCTCTTCTTTCCCCTCTTCCTCCTCAGGGTGGGGGGCCACATCCGGGCGGGCCGGGGCCCAGGCAGGTCTGCCAGGCAGACACTAAGTTTCACTTCCTGTCAACCTCAGAGCTGAGGCAGGATGTCGGGGGCACCGGGGGGCCCAGGGCTGGGTAGTCAACGGGGGCCATCCAGGATTCCCTCTTGCAGAACCTTCCACAGAGCAGCTGGAGGCGAGCACCTGCACTCCTCAGGTGGTGCAGCCGAGGCCATGCACCCCCTAGTTTTCAGGGGCCTCCACACTCTCTCCTCCAAGTAGTAACAAGACTAAGGACAGGACGCCAGGTCGGGCACCTGCAGCACAGGTAGTGAAAGAGCAGAGTTGACAATGGCCGTGTGACAACACTCGCAGGAACTGTGCATGGGACGCAAACACGTTTTTCTAGTCTTTTTGAGACCTTCCGAGTTGGGCTTCTGCTGAGAGTCAGAGAGGTGGAGGGCAGGCAGGCAAGCTGTTACCCCAAAACGTTTGAAGCTTCATTTCGAAGCCTTCAGTCGTTCCTAGTTAGCCATTGCTCTCATTTGTGTGTGTGTGTGTGTGTGTGTGTGTGTGTGTGTGTGTTTTAAGTGGGGCAGGGAACTTGGTGATGGAGGTGGTCAATAACATCGCCTCCTCCCTCCCTGGTTTCAGCGCTGCTGTGGGAATGAACGTGAGCCCCTGTAGGGATTTGGGAAAAGGCACAACAGGGTTGAGAAGGAAAACACAGCACGGGGTTGGGGGAGGGCGACAGTGACACCGGAGGAGAGGAACCCGCCGGCCCCTCCCAGGCTGCAGGGGAAACGAGTTTAGCAGGATTTCGCCCTGAAGGAGCAGAGCTGCTGGAAAGAACCGGGGAGGGGGAACCTTGGGGTCCCACAGAGACTAGGCAGGGCGGGGCAGGGCGGGGCTGCAGAAGGTGTGGCCGCTCGGGCCCGCACTCCTGGCGAGTGGCCCGCTGGCCATCCCCGTCGCCCAGAGACCGGGAGGAGGTTCATTCGAATACGAGCGGGCCCCGCCCCGTGGCTGCACCCCGCCCTCTGACCCCGGGCCCCGCCCCGTAGCTGCACCCCGCCCTCTGACCCCGGACCCCGCCCCGTGGCTGCACCCCGCCCTCTGACCCCGGGCCCCGCCCGAGCCGGCGGCCGGGGTCGAAGGTCAGAGCAAATCCGTCACTTCGCCGCCCGGATCCGCGGGGCCGCCGCAGGCCGGGCCGAGCCCGGGCTGCCTGAGGTCGCCGCGACCGAGGACCGGCCGCAGCGCCCTCCGCCTCTCCTCGCCTGGCGGGTCTCTGTCCGGCGGGTTGAGCCGGGCGGCCGAGAGCAATCGGCGCGCGATTTCGACTGCCCATCTTCTGAGGATTAGGGGTCTTCCATTCGCCCCCAGCAACACTAGTGCGCCCGCCCCGGTGCATTCCCGGAGTGTGCCCAACCGGCTCCATGTCCCCAAGCTGTTCTGGGACTTGGGCGCAGACCAGGGCCTGAATATTCTTTTCCTCATTTATCAGCCCTCCCCCTGTTCGGGTGCAGGTGGGCCTTGCCCCCTTTTCCCTCGCAGGTCCTGTACGGACTAAGAGTGCCTGTGAGGGGAGGGCTGTGCCTCAGCATTTTTTCGGCGCCCAGCGGACTGCTTTCCACGCAGCAGGCGCTCGATAATGGTATCAGTGACAGTAAAAGAGCCCATTGTTTTCATTTTACTAACGTCTTCAGCTTCTACTCCCTCCTCCTCCATCTTCGTCCATGAAATTGTGTACGCTCCCTTTAAGACTAAAATGGTGGCAGGCTACGATCGGGACTCCACTTCCGGTGGGGAGGGGGCGGGACCCCAGCCCGCTCACGCCGGAAGTGGTTTGCGCTCTCAAGATGGCGACTCCCTATGTAACTGACGAGACCGGCGGTGAGTGCGGGAGGCGCGGAGCCGTTTCTCTCCGGGCTCTCGGGGTAGGGGTTCGGACTTGGAAAAGGGTCTGTGCCCCGCCCATCCCGGGGCCCCTCCTTTGCCCCGCCCTTCGGACCGCCTTCCCCATTCATTCCTACGGGGTGCCACCTGCGCCCCCTTCTGGTCTCGAGTTTAGGGGTCTCTGCTTCCGGTCACCCAAACCTTGGGGTCCTTCAATGCTGGCCCCTACTCCAGGGCCCTCACGGGCCTTTAAGGTTTTCTCTAGCAGTCGAAGCTCCAGCATCTCTCTTTTGGGTTCTCCAGCCTTGGGGGTTCCAACACTTAGTTCCCTCCAATTCCTACCTTCCCTTTCTTCCCCTCCCCCATCTTTTAGCTGTACCTGCTTTCTGCCCTACCCCAACCACATTTAAATTCTTTTTCTGGAAGCTGTGTCTGTAGATCTTCTCATTGCTCTATAGCGCTTTTCCCACTTTCTCCCTCATCTTTATTGTTGGTCCAGAGGCGTGAAGGGATGAAGATCCTAATAGAACTTTCAGCCCGAGTTTTCTCCTCGATGGCCCCTCCCTCCTCTGCCTTCTCTGTTGATAGTGATAGGAGGTGAGGGATCTAAGGTGGAAGAGGCAAACCAGGAACGCGTCTAGTGGTCTCTCAAGCCCTCTGACAAGTTGTTAGAACCCAGTTATTCCTTCTGGCTGGAGAATTCCCAGTCTTGCTGATTGAAATGCTGAAGTGTCTGCTGCATATGTGAGCTTTATGTGTTGAAACCTGAAAATCAAGATTTTCATTGTGGTTTTGTCCCATCCTAATTTCCTCATCTTTAGAAAAATGTGCATAGGAATATCTGGTCATTGACAATCAAATAAGATAGTATATGTGAAAGCAATTTATAACATGCTGCGCAAGGCAAGGTGTTACTGTTTTCTCTTTTGTGAAGCCTTCAGTGTGTATGTAGAGCCTTCTGTAGAAGGGATGCTGTGCCTGTGCTGTGGTACGTACGGTCTGTTTTAAAATGTGCCGTGTATGCTTCTTGCTTTGCTACTTTTCATGTCCTCTATATCCCAACCCACCTCTCCTATGATATCTAATGACAACCCTGGTCTCTGCTACCTCTCCCCAACCTCACATTGTGAAGTGGTGGGTACAACCTTTCCTGCTCTCTACTCAGTAGGTCCTTCTTCAACTAGCTTCTTTTAATGTGTGCTTTGAAAATATTACTCAACTTCCAATTTCCAGTACACTTCTTTATTCTTACTGTTTTTTGTTATTGTTGTTACTTTTTTTATTGACTTGGGGGGGGGGAGAGAGAGAAACATTGATGTGAGAGAGAAACATCAATCGGCTGCCTTCCTCATCCACCCTGACTGGGATTGAGCCCACAACCTGGGCATGTGCCCTGACCCGGAATCAAACTAGTGACCTCTTGGTGCGTGGGAGGATGCTCAACCAACTGAGCCACACCTGCCAGGGCTTACCTGTTTTCTTAAACTGATTTAATGAAAATCCAGATATTACATCTCACCCTACCTTCCTACCAAGGATTATTTTCTGAACTCTGTGACCATGTGGAAGAGGAGAAGGAATCACATTACTTTTTTGCTTTCTCTTACTACTTCCAGATCATTGATCTACCACTGTCACACTAATACTCATGGAATACCGGAAGCCGGTCCACCCTTGCTGCTTGACACAGTCACTGCAGGGAAGAAACATCTGCACAGCTTATGTTTCAAGGGACCTGGCGTATATGGCATATGTTTGCTCCCCCTCTTAGCGCCATGTGTTTTAAACAGGGCCACCTCCCCGAGAAAGGTTGTTTCCCCAGGTGAGGATTTTTCCCTGGAGTTAGGGATTAACAGGACTAACAGGATTAAGGAAGGGAATAAAACCCCTTAACTAAGTGCCAGGCAGGTAATTAATCACTTTAACTACGAACAATCATGCTTAAGCTACATAATCTTTACTTAGGATAATCTCCTTCAGTTACTTCCTTGTAGTTTAACAGAACAATAGAGTAGTGACCTTGGAATGGAGATAACAAACGCCCTAACCTTTGGAATAGAATGGATAGGATTAAAATCAACTGGTATAAATACAGATGTAATAGGAGAATAAAGAACAGAACCTGGCTGGAGACCCTGACTAGAGAACCTGGCTAGGCTGCTGATCAACTGAATGCTGTCTCTGTGTCATTCCTTCTTCACTGACTCCGTCCACACCTTTGGGAACCCCTGGACCTGCTGGGGCTGGACCCCAACAATGGAAGGTATTGCCATGCAATTATAGCTTTTTCTCTAAAACTTCAGGGCCATCATTCTTTTTCTCTCCACTGTTTCTTGCTCTCATCCTCAGTATCTCCAGCACCTTTGGATACTTTGATCTTATAGTTCCTCAGCATGAGACCATTGACTTTCCTTTGTATTTTCAAACCAGCTACACATCAGAGTCACTACAACTTGGACCTTACCTATGATACTGCTTCCCCTTCATGTGCTCTCCATCACTTATTTTTGCCTCCTTACTAGTCACTTTTTTCACTACGTCACACCCACAGAAGCAGCATTTTGCCTTCCTTAGGTTCTCTGGTTCTTGACCTTTCCAATTTCATTGAGTCTTATCACTATCTTCATGACTATCATTGATGCTGCCCTTGCTAGACCTCTGTGACCAGGACTTTGGTATTATCCTCATTGCTTTCTTCATTTGTTTTGATCTATACTAAGCAAGTACTTATGTTATTTTGAGTCATACTCATCAACTGTTTTCTTGGCTTCTGCTTCCAGGTCACAGCATATAGCTAGAGAAAAAGCACAGAAGCTAGCAGATCCAGTATAATATAACCTAATGTTAACTTCTGCCAAGATCACAGTTTCTCTCGAATTCTTCTTTCTTGGTTTGCTTACAGTCTACCATGGCCATTTCCCCAACCTTTTCTGGCTCTCTGTAACCTTCCATTTATTTATTTATTTTAAAAATTTAAATAATTTTTTTATTGATTTCAGAGAGAAAGGGAAAGGGAGAGAGAGAGAAACATCAATGATGACAGAGAATCATTGATCGATGCCTCCTGCATGCCCCCCACTGGGGATCAAGCCCGAAACCCAGGCATGTGCCCTTGACTAGAATCAAACCCGGACCCTTCAGTCCGCAGGCCAACGCTCTATCCACTGAGTCAAACTGGTGAGGGCTATAACCTTTCCTTTTAATTCTCCCTCTTGTGGCAGATGACCTCACTTTCTATTTCATTGAAAAATCAAGGCCTATCATTTCTGTTTCTTTCCTGTCCACAGTTTGATTTCTTGAATGTCAGTTCTATACATACTATTTCCATTTCCTCACTGCTTAAGAGTTTCCTTAACTCTTTACAGTTTTTACTTTTTACTTTTAGCACCAACCTCTCTCCTGAGTTGCCAATTTCCTTTTATAATTGTTTGGTAAATAGCTTTCATTCATGGATATACTGTCATACTTCAAATACAATCTGACCAAAATCAATATCAGTTCTTTTTCCTTATTTCTGTTAAAGGCACCATTGTATTAGCCAACCAAAGATGAACTTTTTTTGCATTCTCTCCCTCTTTCTCTCCTTAAAATTTTATTTTCTTCTTAAAATTTTAAATAGACTTTATTTTTTAGAATATTTTTAGATTTAGAGAAAACAATTTTCTAAAATTTTTACTTATTGATTTCAGAGAGAGAGAAAAACATTGACTTGTTCTGCTTATACATGCACTCAGTGGCTGCTCCATGCATGTGCCCTGGCCAGGGATCAAACCTACAACCCTGGTGCATTGGGCCAATGCTCCAACCAACTGAGCTACCTGACCAGGGCCTAGATTTATAGAAAATTTGAGAAGATGATATAGACAATTTCTATATATACCTTACATTCAGTTTCTGCTATTAACGTCTTACATTAATATGGTACCATTATTGCAATTAATGAACCAATATTGACACATTATTATTAAAGCCTATACATTATTCAGATTTCCTTACTTTTTTTTTTTTAATATATTTTATTGATTTTTTACAGAGAGGAAAGGAGAGAGAGAGAGAGTTAGAAACATCGATGAGAAACATCGATCAGCTGCCTCCTGCACACTCCCCACTGGGGATGTGCCTGCAACCAAGGTACATGCCCTTGACCGGAATCGAACCAGGGACCCTTCAGTCCGCAGGCCGACACTCTATCCACTGAGCCAAACCGGTCCCGGCGATTTTCTTACTTTTTACCTAATTTCTTTTTTCTGTTCCAGGATTCCATCCAGGACACCATATAACATTTAGTTCTCATGTCTCCTTAAGCTCCTATTGGCTGTAACAATTTCTCAGACTTTGCTTGTTTTTGATGACTTTGACATTTTTAGGAGTACTGGTCAGGTATTTTGTAGGATACCCCTGTATTGCAATTTGTCTGATGTTTTCCTCATGATTAGACTGGAGTTATGTGTTTTGGGGGGGATTAACCACTGAGGTAAAGTGACATTTTCATCATATCATGTCAAGGGTAAATAGTATCACAATGATTTTTTACTGTTGATATTGACCGTGACCACCTGGCTAAGGTTGTTTGTAAGGTATTTCCACTGTAAAAGTGACTCTTTTTCCCTGTCCTTTTCATACTGTATTCATTAGAAGAAAGTCACTGTTCATACTTTTTAAAAAATTTTTCAATGACAGTTGACATTCAATATTATATTAGTTTCAGGTGTAGAGCATAGTGGCTAGACATTTTTATAACTTACACTGTGACCCCACAATAATTCTTGTACCTACCTGACACCATATACAATTACAATTTTATTGATTATATTTCCTAAGCTGTACTTTACTTCCCATGACTATTGTTTAACTGTCAATTTGTTCTTCCTAATCCCTTCACCTTTTTTACTCAACCCCCTCAACTTCCCTCTCATTTGGCAACCATTAGTTTGTTCTTTGTATCTATGAATTTGTTTCTGTTTTGTTGTTCATTTTGTATTTTAGATTCCACATAT